ATGCACTTCAGTATCTGCAAAAGGTGTCGGCTGACATCTTCAACAGGTAAAGTGCTCTCACAGTGGGGTTGGACGCTTAGCATTCAGCAATATAGGACAGAGTGCTGTGGTCAGGTTGCATCAGTGAAAGGGCATTGCATTGGCAAGCAATGGAAGTTCAGAAAAGGGATGAAAAAGGACCAGATGCACTTCAATACACGTTTATTGGATTCAGGTCTGTCAAAGTTAAGCATAATGAAATGGCTGCAGTTAGCCAGAGGTTGTTGATTATTAATTTTTTATTCAGTGACAGACTCACACAAATTGCATTGCTCCTTCTGCTGCTGTTATTCTTTACTCCTTTTTTGTCATATTTTAAAGGGGAGGCTTTGTTATTTAGAGTATCTTGAAGATATGTCTTTTTGAGTCCTTGTACTTGGAGCAGTGGAGTGGAAAATCTCTTTGATCTCATCTCTGGGACTTACAAACTGTTCTTGTTGGGCATCTCATGTTTTGCACTTCTCTTTTTATGTGTTGGGAGGGCTGTCTGCATGAGAGTGTTCTTCTCACCACAGCTCTTGCATACGCTCATTTTTAGGATTGGATCTGTCAGACTGCCTTTATAGCAGATCAGAGAGATTCATGTGTTTGCCTGCAAATGATGCTAGATAATGTGGTGTTTTTTTCTGTCCAAAGCCGTATTGGGCATCTCAGTGCTCTGACATGGTGTGTCGTATCATTGGTATGGAATCGGAACAGCATTTGTCTTCTCATAGCCAGATAAGCAAAAGCACTTTCTTTGGTTCTAGTGGGGATCATGACTACCTAGTCTGATTTATTGTGGTGTGAGCAGGGCCATGTCTTCTTTTGAGTTTTGGGGGTTTTTTTAAGGGTAGATTGAAGTTCGTTTATTTTTGATAGTAATACTTTGAAAGGCAGCCTCTGAGGAAAGAATAGTCCCGAAAGCTGAGCTCAGGTCGTTGAGGGAAATAAAGGCTTTTCACTGGAATAGTCTGGGCGAGGCCTCCTGGGCAAGGGATCTTGGGCAGGGGCTGTGTGTAGGCTGGATTAGGTTGAACACAAGGTCTCATTCAAGAGAGACCCATGTAGTAGTCACTACTATCATTCCATGTTCCAAAACAGATGCAGCCAGTTTCAAAGCCATCTGTGGAAATAAAGCCTGTGGCAGCAAGAGGCAAAAGAAACAAATACTAGACCTGTTTGTGGAGGAGGCGAGAAGTAATAATCTTGATGAAGATGACTTTCTTTCACTGAAGATTATTTTAATGCACAATTTGAGGACAGAGCTGTGACTACATTGAAGGATATACCCCCAACTGCTATAAATTGGTTAAAACTTTTATGAGCTCTCTTGTTGCAAAAAAAGTAGAGATACATAATTACTCCTGCTTTTACTGCTTTAAGAAGTGGAGACTCAAGAGGGCCTCTCTGCTGCTGACAAGATGGAACATTTTGCTTACTGAACTGTTTCTGCATTGCAAAGCTAGTGTGTGCTATGTAACTGCAGTGAAATAACCTCTTTGGAAGCTGTGTGTGGCAGGGTCTGCTTATGGAGGCTTACGGGCTGCAGAAATAGTCTGACACGTTGATGCAGTGAGGTTTTAAATGGCTATCAGCATGAGAGTAATGTGTCCAGAAATAATAATGGAGTTGATGATCCATAATGGTCTAAAGTTATGTGAGAAGATAATTCCACACTGAACCCCAAAACAGACACTTTTCTGCATAGCAAGAGCACTGAGAGGCCTTTGAGAAAGAAGTGAAAAAATCTGGCAGGGGATGGAAGTGATGGTAATCTGTTCTCCTTACCATGTGCCAAAAACACTTGTCCCAGTGAGCAATGAAAGTCTTTACAACGGGACTAGATGTCCATCTTTGTAGGCTGATTATTTCTGAAGCCAGAACTGTGTGGGCTTGTTGACACCTTTTCTAGGCTCATCTCTTGACCTTGTTTCAGAGTTTCTACACAGTTCAGACATGCTAACATGTGAATTACTGGTATGTGGTGTCCATAAATGTTTGGGGGTGCCTTGAAAATACCATTGGGTTGGAGGGAGGCAGCAGTTCGGCATGAGTATCATGGGAAGGTGTGATAGGGAAATTAGTATTTTTAGGGGGGACAGGGGACACACAAATGTGGCTACAGTGTGACTCTGGCTGTGTTTTGCTAACAGCTATGGTGCCAATCCCTCAGTAGGTTAGTGGGGTGTCAGTGCCTATTCAGGGTCGAGGCAATGACCTGGGCCTTGAGGATTGCTCAGAGGGCAATAGTGAGAGTACCCTCCCAGCCACACCTGTGTGTGAATAATGCAAACAGGTCTCATGGCTGCAGTCCTTTAGTGTGGGAAAGTTAAGTGTGTTTCCCTCATGTCTTCCCACTGTTGTGGCACCCTGAGAAGGTTCTTCAGGAGAACTCTGAAACTCTGCTCTTTGTGCAGCTGAGTATACATCCTTTCCTTGAAGTATTCTGGATGGCAGTGGGTTGGAAGGATCCAGATCTCCACTTGATGGGAGATGCAGTGGCTGAGATTTTGTCCAGCAGTAAGTCTCTGTTAATGGAGAGAGTTTTAGCAAAGATATTACGAACTTCCCCATCCAGCGAGTCGTTCCTTTCCCACTCAGCCCCTTACCCCAAGTGGCTGTAGCTATCACTCCCTTGAAATAGGCAAGGAGAAGCAGATCACAAGTCCGTGTGCCTCACAGCAGAAGTGTTCCCTTATTTCTTAGCTTACAGTTCTAGCAATATGGTCAGATTCTCCCACTCTTCTTGACACAACTGCCATGCCGTTCTTTTTGTTGTACAAAGTGATAGCTTTACCTTCTCAACAAGCTTCAGACACTGGAGACACACGTGTTAGAGCAATTTTCTTTTCCTGTGGATGACTTTTGTACACTCAGTCAGCCCTGGAGGAAGAGATGAAAAGAAGTCATTTTGTTTTACAGGCATGACTTCCATCAGGGACCTAGTGTGGAGAAAACTGTCTGGAAAATAACACTGAGTGGCTTGAAATGTGTTTTATAAGCTCCCTCCTATATAAGTAGGAGTGTGCACACTGAGGGAAGAGTTGTGGGAGCAACACCAGTGCCAAAGGTCTGTTCTTTACTGGCAGATTAAATTCCATTTCCATGGCCCTTTTTTCCTGACTCGCTGTGGTGCTGTCACTGGGTTTTTGCAAATGGAGTAGGTTAGAGTTTGGGTGTAAATACAACTGACAGTTCAGACAGAGCAGTGCTTTTGGAGACCTTAGATCTAGTTGTAGGCACTAATGAAGGTGTCCCTCTTTTTCTTTCATCCAAATCTTCCAGACAGTCATTTTATTAAAGGAATTCACCATGCTGTGCTATTAGGAAGAGGAGGGGATAAAAATTATTTTTGGAGCCAGGGATGAAGGATTTGGATGGTAAAGTGTGTTAAAGAGAAACCCCAGGTGGATAATTTAGTGTCTTCTGAGTTGGATTCCTTTCTTAATTTATCCAAGAATATGATCCTTATTCTGGATTAATATGCATTATAAAAACCAGGTATTTGCATTTTAGCTTACTCCTAGGACTCTTGTTTTAGATCGTCCATCAAAGCTGAATATGAAAACGTGCTTGATGTGCTTAAGAAGCATAACAGGACCTTCCTTTTAGAAGAGGAGGTAAAGCTG